CCTTGCTCAAGGCAAATTCACCCTTGTGCACATCAAATTCATCCTTGGGCAGAGCAAATTCACACCTTTGCAAATTAGTTCACTGCTTTGCAAATCAAATTCACCCTGTTCAGAGAAAATACACCACTGTGCAAATCAAAATCACCCTTGTGCAAATCAAATTCACCCTTGTTCAAAGCATTTCACACTTGTGCAGAGCAGATTGACCCTCGTGCAAATCAAATGCACCATTGTGCATATCAAATTTACCCTTGTACCGAGCAAATTCATCCTTGTGCAGAACACATACACTTTTGTGCAAATCAAATTCACATTTTGCATATAAAATTTAACCTTGTGCAAATCAATTTCACCCTCATGTCAACAAAATTCACTCTTGTGTAAATCAAATTCACCCTTGTGCAAATCAGTTTTCCCCTTGTGAAATCAAATTCATCTTTGCTGAGCAATTTACCCTTGTTCAGAGCAAATTCACTCTTGTGAAAATCAAATGCAGCATTGTGCAAATCAAATTCACCCTTGAGTAAATCAGATTGCCCTTTGTGCGAATCAAATTCACCCGTGTACAGAGCAAATTCACCCTTCTGCAAATTAACTTCATCTTTGTGTATATCAAATTTACCCTTGTGCATAGCATTTTACACTTGTGCAAAGGAAGCACGTGCTTTTGCTAATCAAATTCAGCTTTGTGCATATCAAATCCACCATTGTGTATGTGAAATTCACCTTTGTGTGAGGAATTCACCAGTGTTCAGAGCAAATTCAGCCTTCTGAAAATCAAATTGACTCTTCTGCACAGCAAATTTACCCCTGTGCAAATCAAATTGACCCTTGTGCAAATCAAATTGACCCTTGTGCAAATCAAATAGACCCTTGTACAAATCAATATCACTCTTGTGCAGAGCAGACTCACCCTTGTGCAAATCAAATTCAATCTTGTGTAGAGCAAATTCACACTTCTGCCCAGCAAATTAACCCTTTTGCAAGTAAAACCGACCCTTGTGCGAATAAAATTCACCCTTTTGGAAATCAGTATTACCCTTGTGCAAACAAAATTCCACCCTTCTGCAAATCAAATTCACATTGTGAAATTCAAATTCAACCTTGGAGATATCAAATTCACCCTTGTGCAGAGAATTTCACACTTGTGAAAAGCAAATTCACCCCCATGCAAGTCAAATCCACCCTTGTGCAATTCAAATTCACGCTTGTGCAGAGCAAAATCACCCTTGTGGAAATCAAGTTTGTCCTTGTGAAAATCAAATTCACACTTTTTTCAAATCAAATTTACCATTTCAGACAAAATTCACTCTTGTGCAGAGCAAATTCACGCTTGTTAGGAGAAAATTCATTATTGTGAAAATCAAAAGCACCCTAGTGCAAATAAATTCACTAGTGTGAAAATCAAATTCACTATAGTGCAAATCAAATTCACCTTTGTGCTCAGCAAATTAAAAAATGGGCAAATAAAATTAACCTTTGTGCAAACTCTTGTGCAAATCAACATCAATGTAGTGCAAATAAAATTTCTTCTTGTAAATCAAGTTCATCCTTTTGAGAACAAATTCACCCTTGTGAAAATCAAATACACCCTTTGTAGAGCAAAAGCACCCATATGCTAATAAAATCCATCCTGGTACAGAGCAAGTTCACCCTTATGCAGAGTAAATTCACCCTTGTGCCAATCAAATTCACCATTGTGCAAGTCAAATTCTCCCATGTACAGAGTGAATTCATCATTGTGCTGAGCACATTCAACTTGTGCAAATCAAATTCAACCTTTTACAAATAAAATTCACC